GGGGGGGGGTTTGGGGCCTTGACAAGCTATTAACCCTTTCCTTTCTAGGAAATCCACGTTATTCCTAGATAGCGGGGAGAGGGAGGGTAGCAAAGACATTTCTCACCCCCATTACCAATGAGAGTGCACACATGCCCACCTCCAACAGTCTCTCTCTGCCTTGCACCACAGGCACAGAGCAAACACACACCACTGCTTCTGGCACACCCTGTTGCACAGACATGTTACCAGCCTCGGCAAAGCAGCCCACTCATTAGGCTTTACTTCTGTGGCAAACATTCGCAGTGTCTAGCACAGGGGTTAATTCTCTCTGCTACTGGCTTCCAGGATGGCTATTTTACTCTACCCCAACAGATCACAACACTCCCCTTGTCTAAACCACTGGTCTCAGGCACTGTCTGAGATCAGGTTGCAACCCATAAAGTGGTCATTCCTTAAATTCCTTAAACGCCGTTCTCCCTCTGTCCTCCTGGCTTCTCTTTCGTACGTTTGGGTCGAAAGGGACCTCACTAGATCATCGAGTCTGACCGCCTGCCCCGGGCAGGAAAGAGCACTGGGTTCAGATGACCCCAGCCAGGTGCATGTCCAGCCTCCTCTTAAAGACCCCCAGGTAGGGGAGAGCCACCCATGGGAGCCCAGTCCAGATTCTGGCAACCCTACCCATACAGGTCTTCTGGACCTCCAACCGAAATCTGCTCTCCGTCAGTTTGTGGCCATTGTTCCTAGTTACTCCAAGGGGCGCCCTGGTAAGTAAAGCATCTCCTATTCCTTGCTGTCCCCCCGATGAATTTGTAGACAGCCACCAGATCCCCACTCAGCCTTCTCTTGCAGAGTCTGAAGAGATCCAGGTCCCTCAATCTCTCCTCATAGGGCCTTACCTACTGGCCCCAACCATGTGAGTGGCCTCCTCTGGACCCTCTCCATGTTGTCCACATCCCTCCTGAAGTGCGGCACCCAGACTTGGACGCAGTACTCCAGCTACGGCCTGACCAGTGCCGCATAGAGGGGAAATGTCACCTCCCTGGGCCTGTTCATCATGCACCTGCTAATGCATGATGAAGCGCGGTTAGATTTACTGATCGCTTCATCACACCAACGGCTTGTGTTCATCTTGGAGTCAGCAATAACTCCGAGATCACTT